AACGCCAATACACATGTCACTTAAATTTAAGTTATAGCTAACTTTTAACTTGTATATTATAATAGTGTGAAATAAGGAAATCTGTGTTTATAAATATAAATTTAATATTTTTGAACTTTTTTGTTGTTTGTGCATTTATACATAATATCTTTGATTAATGATAATCAATGATAATATTATGTATATAATATTATAGCACCTGAGTTAATTTGGATTGTTTTTAAGAAGTCATGTGAATTTACTACTCATAAATTCGTTATAGTTTGACTTGGTTTATATTTATTTTAATATAGATTGTATTATAAACTATTAACTATTAACTCCAGCCTTCCCCTTGTATCTGACCTTGTTTACACATAAACTAGAGTGATCTATTTTATATATTAGCTGGACATTAGTGATAAGTCTGATGAGTGTATCATATCTAGATCCAAAAGAACCATACCGGTTATTTTAGACCCCAAAAAACTACTGCCGGCTTAATAATATATAAACATTTTATTCAGCATCGGCAAGGCGCCAGTCTACCATAGGTTGTCCCTGTTTGAATTTACTATTGTGTAGCTAAGTATAAACAAATACTAACAATTAAGCATTCGTAGTATATATGGAAAAAAAATGTCAACCACAAAATAAAAAATAGCTGTATATTTCAATAACAAATGAAACTTATCACAGATGTTATAAAAATAGCGTAGACAGTAGACACAACGCGGTCACACGGCGCGCGTAACAGTGTTTTTGTATACTATTATAATTTATAACTTATAAGGTTCTGTTCAAATAATAAGTGTCAGCTAAAATACGTTCGATGACATTATTTTCGACTTAAATATTTTTCGGCTATTATATTTTCGGTTAATATATGTTTTGGTTCTAAATTTTTTCGGAATTATTATTTTCGGCATATATATAACATGATAACTAATACACAGATATGAAAATATATAATACAAAATTAAATAATATTTAACTATAATTTATTATTGTGTTATTGCCTATTGGAAGTTGTAAAGTATTTAAGTAAATGTGTTTAATTTTATTGACGGGTATCGAATAGTTTCGTATGAGGTATTCACGATGTATTGTTATAAATAGATAGGTATAATACATCGGTATTAAATAATTTAAAAAAAAAGTATAATTTCATTGACATTTGATCAATGAACATTCTGCTTTACTTATTATAAAACGTGTAAGTATGTTTTGAAAAACATTTTTTTTTACAAACTCAGGAGACAATTTATTGTAGGTAAATTATCACTATAATATAATATTGTAAATATTGTTTCATATACTTTCCGTTTTTTTTTTATATAAATTTCAATAATAGAAACTGATTTGATTATAACTTAAATAAAAAAACTCAAAACAGAAGACAGGTCACACAGTGAATTAAAAATAGTTCAAGCCTTATTGCATTAATTATGAAATGTACAAGTTTTCCCCTTTAAATAAACAATACTAGCCGCACAACATACACGAATAATAATCGTGCATTTTTTATAAATATTGTATATGTTGGTACCCCTTCGAGTGGCTGCTTGTCGAGTGGCTCCGTGTCGATTTTCGGTGGTTGTTTGTCGAGTGGCTCCGTGTCGAGTGGCTCTTTGAGGTGTAACCAGTTTGGCCCACGATGTAGAGAAGTGACGCCACTCCAACTAAATTAGCGGGCCAAGAAACGGTATTTTGGTAGTACCATTTTGTCACGTAGATAGCGCCACCATTCGCCCGGAGGTCGACTTTTACACGGAACCACAGATATATAATAACTAGATTGCCAACTAGCGATAAGATTTGAAGCCGACAGTCCGCCATTCTGGTGAGATTTTTGTGTGTTATGAATGCATATAATATATATCGGCATATATTATTATATTATATATATATATATATATATATATATATATATATGTGATTGTTATACACATATATTATTCTCGCGTGATAAGGTTCTAATTCCCACCAAGATGGCGGAAAGTAGCTGCTTCAATTTTCTCTATTGGTGGTATATACAGTTAGCAATCTAGTTTATTATATATTATATATCTGTGCATGGAACTAATAGGGTTTCTTACATGTTTTATACGGTTCTTTCATTTTTATTGTTAAATAAAAATATATTACATATAATTTAATTTTAATACAGGACTATAGATTATAAATTGTTTTAAAAACCACAATATTCGTATATGTAGTCTAATTAAATGTATTATTTATTCTAATTCCTATTCGACAAAAGACGTTTTTGGTCGAACGATGACTCCTTTTATAACAATATATATAATATAATAATACGTATTATATACAAGAAAAAAAGTCCTCAACAAGTACCCCCCCCCCCCCCCCCCCCCCTATATCGAATTTTAAGCACTAGAGAAGTTTTTCACATTGAGTTTATAGTTATTGAAGGTCTAAAGAATAATTGCACATAACTTGAGCATTACTTAAGAATAATGCAGTTCACTAAAAACTCTAAGTGAAACTAGACATTTTTACAAGATAAAGCTTATTATATGGTAATTAAATGGGACTTATAAAGTAGGGTATATTTAAACGGGGATCGGAGAGTTATTTAGGATAAAATTATTTTAATACCTCCGACTTAATAAACGGAGCCTTATCCATTTGAGTGAACACACTTTAGTACTCTTTTACATAACAATAGACACATTTTTTCCGATTATTTTAATTTCTCCCTGAAAAATAAGTATCGCATGTGTAAGGTGGATATTTATTACATTAATAAACCCCAATTAAGTGTCTCCAACAGCCCGACTACCGTGTAATTCAAGCCCAACCATACGTGCAATTCCTAGGGACGAAGCAGAGATATATTCTCTACATTGTGTTCCTAAGGATGATATTTGCATCACTAATAATTGTTTATATTTTGTGTCACGGCACATATAATTATATAAAATACTGTTGTTTTTATTCATTTTTATTGGTGCCTATGCCTTATGAACTTAACTTACGTTCATCATTTAAGGAAATTATCGAATACTAAGTTTTATTAAATGGATCATTTACAAAAAATGTATTAAAAATTAGTTTTTTATGTAAAATAATTTCAGTTTTCTAAAAAAAATATTATTAATATGAGTTTATAATCTGTAAAGTTGTTTTTTTCGTATTAAAAAACGGTCAAAAAAGAAAAAAGAAAGAGGTAAAAATGCATAGAAGAGTAGGAAAAAACAACCGTGTTCAAAATATTTGAAATAATTAATTATGTATAAAAGTATTCCGTTTTTAAATTTTTTCGTTTTTTCGACCTTTCTATGTATTTTTACTATTTTTTTTTTGTTTTCTGACTGTTTCTATGGAAAATTTTTTCAGTTTTCTGAAAAAAATATTAGGAAAATGCTCAAATTTAGGGCAACACGAAAATTATTTTTTCGGTTATGTGCCAGAGCTAAGACATGAAAATGTCAAAAACTACTTTTTATATTATAAATTCAATTTTAGTGACTATATTATATTCCGAGAAAAAAACTTTTTTTCAGAATGATGCGATTATTTTACAGAAGAAACTACTTTTTACGACCATAGCCAAAATAATAAAAAAAACATTTTTTTCATCGAAACAGACATGCATTGGTTTTTTGAAAAAAGACGGAGGGGGGTCCGTCTAAACGTTTGTTTATAATTGGAGTTATGACCAATATATATTTTTTATATGCAATCGCACTGCAATAATATTTCCTCGTAATTTTGATCACAAATAGTGTAATAATATAATAGGTAACTTTCAGATGAAGGTAAAGAATGGTTATCAAATCAATGGTAACTTTGTTGGCCTTTAAAAAATTCTACCGACGTTTCAAACCTAAAAAAATGGACTAAAAGAGCATATGAAAATATGGCTATGGCGAATTATCCGTATCCTGCTCAATTTTTGGTGCCATTGCCGGGAAATCCTGTTAAGGTAATATCTCGAGTTTTTGTCAAGTTAGTCCAACATCATAATTGTTGACCGATAATATTGAAAAATAAGTACAAATTTTTTTACATTCAATACGTTTCTGGTAAATTTTTAGGAATTTTGTAAGCCATTAACAAATTCTTATAGCGACTGTTATACACTTTTATCATCGGTCTTCGAGGGTTTGAATGTGTTCTTCAACTATACCGGTTCTTCCCAATGCCTTGATGTTTGTGTTACGGATAAACCTAGTAGAAAAGCATAAAATTACCAAGTATGTAATATATTTTTTTAATATTTACAATCTGTTAGTTCAAACAATAAGTAAATTTGAAGACATAATATGTACATTATATACGACATGAATGACTGAAGAGGGGGCTGTTCACTAACGGAACCTCAGAATTTAACTATTAATAATTGTATAGTTTTATTATTATTATATACTCTTTTTTTAGATAATCCTAAACACGCCTTTGGTCGGTGGTACAACTCCGTTGTACTGTTGTTTTTTTTTTAAATCTATAAAACATATTGTATTGTATGCAGGTTTGCACCGAATTGATGGTGCCCTTGCGCACTAACGGCATCAAAGATATATTTGAGAAGTCTCCGTATAATTATACAGAAGACGCTGATTGGTGCTATAAAGAATACGGCTAGACCTATTGACGGATAAACGCCGTCGTTTATCCGTCAATAGGTCTAGCCCAGAAGACTTACGGCGGTAAACACCTCATTGCATCGTCAAACATCATATTTAGGTAAAAATAGAGCGTAACAGCTTACATTTTAATTAGGCATAGAGCAGGTACACCATTGGCGCAACTAGAGGGGAACGGGGCTAGGGAAGTTACAATCCTTTTTAACTCATTCAGGATATAAACAAATTGTCAGCAACCAATCGAGCACAGCCCCCGAGGGTCTGAACTTCATAACAAAATGTTTAGAATAATTACATCAAAATGACACTGCCGTACAGAAGTCTGGGGCCCAAGTCCTTACTTAAGTCCCTAGAAAGTAAATTACAGTCTGTTCTACCCGTGCCCACGTCTATAATAATAGAAATTTGTATTTAAATTTCCTTATCTCGTTTCAGTAATGGCCTATTGGATCCTTGGTCTAGTGGTGGAGTGTTGCACGACATTTCTAACACCGTACAAGCTATCATAATACCAGAATCTGCACACCATTTGGACTTGAGAGCGTCGAACGCCGAGGACCCGCAATCGGTGATCGAAGCCAGGAAGTACTACAAAAAAACTATTAAAAGATAGATTAACGGCTACCGCAAAAACAACTAAATCTTAATGCAAACTTGATCATCGATTACACGTCTGAAAAAAAAAAATAAAAATGTTTGTATGTATCTATGACCGTAAGTCATGATTGCAGAAAAATGTTTTTTTTTTAAAAAAAAGATAGAAATTTTGATGATTAAAAATGTATAAATAATGCCTATGGTTCATTCCATGTCAATTCACTGGATATGTGTACTAGTAGATTTTTTAAATGCCTCTAACTTATATGTCCTATGCAGACAGTTCCATAAAATCCTTTTGTTTGGACTTAGGCGGTGCTATATACCATAAATTTGTTGTGCATCTTTAATTAACGACCACGTTACTTGATGATTAATTATGATGTGTTGAAATGGAACTTATACTGAACATTTTTAATCAAAGTGTTCTTTTTCATAATATCCTTAAACTAATTTTTTTGTAAGTAGATTAAAATTGAAAAACAAATTTAAAACGTTATAAATTTCATTATGTTTTCATACTAACTTAAAGTCGAAGTTTCAAGACATTTTTTTTTTATAATGTATAAGTTACTTCAAAGTTAGTCATTTTATTAAAAAGCAGTGGCGGATCGTGGTGATTTCACACAGAAGTGCGATAAAAAATTAGAAAACCATAACCCAAAATGATATATGATCTATTTATCTGAGGAAAAACGTATAAATATGGAGTAACTTTAAAAACAATAGACTTCTGAAAATGTTCCGTAAACTTGGGTCTAAATCTGAACATAAGTTATCAAACCACGAAAAATGCCGTGATTTTTTTATGAAATTTTTTTATCGTATCCACATAAAGGTAATTTGTGATTTACACAACATTTTACACAATTTAACATTTCTTTTTAAAATACCTTGATTTTTAGAAACTTGGTGATTATGACGTTTAATCCCTGAATTCACTAACAATTTGACTTCTTAAGTCAATAGTTCCGAACACTTTAAAATTTGCCTCATTATGTAGATGTTTAAACGAATTTTCATGTTTATTTATTTTTTACACCAGTCTTACTCCAAGATATCTCACCTCCAAAAAAAAAAAAAAAAAGGGAAACAAAATAACGATACAAAGTCATTTGAACTAAAGCCCAGTATTTAAATGACGAATGTATTTATTTGGTCCTTTATATGAAATATTAGTTAAACTGGGTAAACTTGGTAAAGGTCTACCCACTAGAGCTGAGACCTCGAATTGAATTTTTCTATTATTCGAATTACTCGAATAATCAAATAATACTATTCGTATGAAAATAGTTCGAATATTCGAATAGTAATCGAATAATTCGAATAATTCGAATAGTAATCGAATAATTCGAATAATTCGAATAGTAATAAAAAAATTCGAATATTCGAATTTTCGCATGAAAAAACTAAAAAGAACTTCTTAATCTAAGAGGTAATATTTATTTTGTCAAATTTATGTTTGTTTGTATTTATATATCTATATAAATTGTTAAAATCTTATTTGTTGTAATAAGTAATAATATTTATTTTGTCAAAAGAATAATTCGTTATAATTATATTAATTTTGTTAAAAAATTATTAAAAATAGATCAAGGGCACCTTAGATGTCTCTTAATTATTTTTTTTTAATCTAATTAATCCTGCAAAGAAAATGATAAAATATTCGAATAATCAGATCGAATATTCGAATAACACATCGAATATTCGTTATTAGAAATAACGAATATTCGTGCGAATAAAGTATTCGAATACTCGAATTTTTTTTATTCGAATAGTCTCACCACTACTACCCACATTTTTTATTTCTACTTTTTTTTCTAATAAAAGAAATGAAAATTTGAATTTTAAAATTTCTTGCACAGAATCAATATTAATATAATATAATATTATATTAAAATAGTACTTAATATTTAATAATATTATTACGTTAATAAAACATTAATCAATCATAATTAAAATTAAATAGTCTCCGTTTTCCCGAACGTATTTTCTGATAAAATGAAGACAACGGCCGACGCCGCGCCGTCATATACGCTGCCGCCCGAATTCGTGCGGTACGAAATTAACGCACATTATAGTTTATACGGCCGCCGCCGCCGATAATCTAATATTATATTTATATATACTACGAAAACCTGTTTTTATATGCGCGGTTCACAATATAGCGCACACCACGATACAATCTAGCCGGAAAATTATTATCGCCCTAGTCATAACATATAGTTTATACGGCCGCCGCCGTATGATATTACATTTATAAATCATCGAGATTCTTTATCTTTATTAATTCTTTATAGATTTCGCATGAATTGTTCAGCCACCACAGGTTGTGTTATTATTATTGTACAACTAATTACACATTAATAACAACTACTGTTGTAATAAAACATAATGACTTGCGGTATAGGTTAGTAAAAAAATATATAAAAATATAATGTTATACCGTCGCGTCGTTTACTCGCAGGCCATGCGTAATCTCACAACAAATATTAACCCTGTTAAAAACATTAATGTAAAAAAAAACCTGGTTTAGGTCTGGATACACTTTGTAAAGGGCATAAAAAACAATGTACATTTTATTTAGTTATTATTTATTAATTTCGGGGGTCGGGGTATAGTGGGGACGCGTCGTAGGTTTACAGGATTTTTTAAATCTGAAAGTGATAAAATCACTTTCGAATAAACGTTTCGATGTAAATCAGTAGTTAGTATTTTCAAGCCAGTACAGTCAAAACCAAGTACAGTGTAAACCAGCAAAGCTAGAAAGTATTAAATTGAGGTGCTGTATTTACAAATAAGAATCAAAACGTCTATTTGAAAGTGATTTTATCCGAGAGGACCAGTACAGTAGAGTATATGCATGATGGAATCAAGGCATAGAGGGTCGGAGAGGTCACAGGTCTTATAAATAAAAGTTATAAAATCACTTAAAAAAAAAAAAAATTAAATTAAAACCTTAAAGGTGTACTTGAGTATCAAAACTTAGTAGTATAATTCTGCATAGATCAAATCGAATTGTTGTAATGATTTGATAAATTTTTTTTTAAATTTTAGGTTCAAATATACGAAATCTGCGAAAAACAGTTTTCCGGCAATTAAAGAAAAACTGTAGTGCCGAATTTTTTTTCCATTTAATATGTTATGCATACATATAAGTTCTAACTACTGACAAATTTTCAACTTAAAGATCTTAACATTACGGCTAAAAAACCCAAAAAACAAAACAACTTGCACCCCCTCCCCAGGGGAATGGGAAATGGGTATAATTTAAATTTTATTCAACTGACGTGTGCGCACATACCAACTAAATAATCCTAAGCTTCCTGCTTTGCATCGAAGCTAAAATATGCACAACTGCGTCATATTTGGTTTAAGTCTGGATACACTTGTAAAGAGTACTAATGGATAAAAAACATTGTACATTTTATTTTGTTACTATTTATTAATTAAATTTTGTTTTAATTTTAGACCTTAAATAATGTGTTGTAAAAAGAAAATAATGAACCATTTATTTTAAAAATAAACATTGAGGATATTTATATTGGATTATAGGTACAGCCACGGTACAGGGTGACGGAGAATGAAAGACCACATTTGTAATGGGCACCATAATTTTAATTTTTGAGGTAGAGGGGTGAAATAAAAAACAAGCTGTTGCAAATTTAGGGGTATTATTGAATATGAAAAAAATATTTTTTGTGTCAATGGTACCATTCAGAGCCAATATCATTAAAAATGCATTTATAATTCATTTTAATATTGTTTTTTAAATACTCTAAAAAGTCTACAGGTAGTAAAAAATATATGTAATAATATACACATTTGTATAGTTTAAGGGTTAGTTTTTAGCGGGTTGCTACTAGTATCATCAAATGTTTAACTGAAATTCGGATGCAATTCGGTTATGTATCTGAGCCTGGAAGTCAACTAGTGCAAAATTTACCTTTTTAGCTGTTACATTAAGGATTGAACAGAATTAATTCGACGATCACACTTTCTGTAACCATTGCCAGTTAATGAGCTTTGTGGTCTGTAATTTTTATTTCCCATAGGCTATGTTAAATTTGAATACATTTTTGAAAACTTTAATTCTTTTTCGAGTCAGTACCATTTTTCACACAAATGTTGTTTTAATTTACATGTCTAGCGGTTTAACTATTTTTTCCAAATATTTATAGTAACAGTATTATTATACTTATATTACATATGAAATAATGTGTACCTAGTATACCTAATAGTTGTAGTCTGGCGAGTAGCAGTGGAACGAAATAATAATGGGATGTTGTGTGTTAGTACGATAACAATAACTATAGTATTAACATTCAATTTAAAATAGTACCTACCTTCCTAGTGGCGGTGAACAAAAGAGCTGATAAACAAAACAAAAAATATACCGTCAACTTATTATATAACCTACATATGTACTTGCTGTATAAAGCGCTGTTTGTCATTGAAATAAAATCTGAATAGACATTCATTATGAATTGACAATATTACTACGGTTAAATATAATATATTTGTTTCTACTGTTATAAAGTCATTAAGAATATAATAGATACTTAATGTAAATATTTATATTATACGACGCCGTCTATGTACAAATATTTTACCTCCGTTCAACAAGCGCCCATAGTTGACAAATTAAAAATAGTAATGTTTTTGATAAAACAAAAAAAATGAGAAAATCGACAGTTTTAAATTATCAATATATTTTTATACTTATAGATAATGAACGTTTGTTTTATATTATAATGAATCTAAGCTGCTTAAATCCGCCAAACTATCAGAATTCAGGTCATTTGCGCCAGTTTGGACACTCTTTTCTAAAACGCCAGAGGGTAGTAAGAACTCCATGTACTCTAGGTTGTTCCATGCTAAGACCTCGCGCTCGTTGTATCTCCTGATCAATTCGTATTCCGTATTGTAATAGTATTTAACGAATTCCAAGTACAAATGTAGTAATCTCTCATCCGAAATGGCATTACTATTGTAGTATGTTTTAAGTTCTGCAAATAAAATCTTGTTATTTATATAAGGCAAGTGGTGTTAAATAATGACTTACATAAGAATATATGACGTAGCTAGAGATTGAAAGAAATTTACAAATTATAGGTAGTCCAATTTTTAATTGATTATTAAATTTTATTAAAAAATAAATAAATAAATAATCATAAATTACACATTCTTATTGGTACCTATCGGCTATTATTGGTTTTTCGTGGTACACACACAACACTGGTTTGTAATGTTATTAATTATAAAATCTATTTTATTACCCGTATCCGAGTTGCTGCCGGTTTGCACGGATTGGTCTAATCTCATTGTTAGAATCGGCTTTCCTATTCCAAATATGAGGTTGTCATAATTTGCAAGCATCACGTCCTCTCTCTTTCCCGTCATGGAGTCCAGCATATTAGTTTCCAGAGAATACGTTAGATCGGGAACCCATCGGCTGGATGGCTCGAAAGCTGAGGCGGTACGCTGTGAATCAGTAAACATGCAGTCTTATGGTAGACAATCAATATGGACATATTTTGCAAGAATTTATAATTATTTTTTCTGTAATTAATGAAACTGGAGAATAACAGTATTGTTTGAATGTCTCTAAACTTTAACGACAAATAACGATTAACGGTAGAGACCGTCAGATCTGACAAGTTACCTCGTGAGATACAGCCTTCATGAAAGTCCAAACAGCTGTGCTTAATATAATTAAAGCCGTGATAGAAGCTAATATCCAGGCTGATATATAGGCCGTCCTTGGATACGTGACGTTATGGAACGTTGGTGAATTCCAATGGAAAAAGCTCGCCAACATGATATGCTAGTCATTGAGAACATTACATTGGAATTAGTCCTAGTTTTCAGTGAATGAAGGATTTTGTTGTAACTATTATTATTATTATTATTCTGCTTACGACGACGAGTATAGGCCCTCCGACAAAGAGTATCTTCAACATGAGCGAAGGCCGCCGGTCTGTCATGAAAGACAAATCGGCAAAGAACTCGTTTATGCCGTAAATGCAAAATATAAATATTGCTTCGGAAGTGGTGATCATCAGTATACCCATTGCAGATCCAATGTCGTCCAGCAACGAAATAAGCGCATCTCCGCCCTGTTCAATAAATTAACAGTAAGTATGATTATAGTAGGTCCGGGAAGTATATACACTAAAAACATCCGAAGTATGAAATTGTGATTTTCATTGCTTTGATCAAACTGGTTGAATACATTTTCCTAAATAAGTTGTCAAGTTCTACATAATGTTGATGGTTTTTTTTTATTATTATTATTAATAATTATTTTGACTTACTCGAGTTACCGTCACCAAGGATAATAAGAACATAACAACACTCATGCTCACACAGTAAATCAAATTGCTGTAGTTGAATTGTCCAAAATAAGCATTCATCAAATATAGCACGGGACTCAAAAACGATAACTATAACAATACATTTATAAACAAATAAAAACGATTGTTTTTTAGATTTTTTTCATACAAGTTATATGATAACTTATATAGTCTAAACATAAACTAATAATCCAAAAATATATCATTTTACTATTAATTATGATTGTACTCTGTAATATTGTTGAGCTATAATGTTTTTTTCAAACAAAAGCTTGTAATAATAAAAAATTCCGTATTGTCACTATTTTTTTTAATTGATAATGTATCTAATTTAGGTTTTTAGTTTTAATATTAAAAGGTTGTATGGGTTTTAAGCTACATGCTTAGAAACATTATGTCAAGTTTGGATAGTTAAAAAAACGGATTAAAATCTGAGGCCTGATAACTTTAAAATTAATATTGTTATATACTATTTAATTTGTTTTTCCTATTTAAACGATTAGGGTATTTATTATTTAATTATACATTTAATATAAATAGTTTGTTTGTATAATTAATATTTTTTAATTAAAATAATAGAGAATTTTGCAGGGCAACCTAATAATTGGCACGTGCGAAAGCAAACGTTTCACAAGTAATACGTTTGTTTAATATATTATGCGGACTATAGACGGATCTTACTGACGATGTATAAGTGCAAGGGGGCAAATTATTATCTACACATTTACTAACCTGTGTGAGTATAGAAAGAACAAACATAACAAAAAAAGCAACAAAATTGAAGAATCTTGGATAAGGTAGATCTATTACAGTTTGAGCGACGGCCAAAAAAAACATACCGGGACCTACAAAAAAAAAAAAAATTTAATATACATGTGTCATCATTAAATTTCAATAAAAAGTATTTTCAATGTGTTACCTGACACAAAGACGAATTGGAAGAGTATGTGGTACCTAACAGCTAATTTTTGTATCACGCCATAGATGACAATGCTTGCCGACACGGCGCAAACCATGTCCATCAAGGCGATTATGAGAATGTTGCTAAGTATATTAGTGCGGAAACCACAGTTTTTACCGAAAAGTATCAGATGGCCGGTGCCCACGTCAAGCGAATAGAATACTTGTTCAGCCGCTCGGCGCCATCCCTAAAATGTACAACAAACAATAAAACACAAACTATATGATTATTAGTTCAATGTAAAATTATCAGAGTTAAAACTATTGGATTTAAAAAAATCAAAATCCGAGTTTTGGAGTTACTTTTTTTGGAAGTTTGGACTTGAATGATTGAAATCTTACATTTGAACAATTTCTATTAAAACATAGACTATGTTATATAGTTAGTATGCAGAGGAGGGTTGGAGGTAATAGTACCTAATCGTCCTGCCTAAATTAAGTTGTTACTAATATGACCATTGTAATAATTATATTACAATTTATAATAATATTATTGTTATTATCGTATGCCTTGTTTTGGTCGGAAATACTTAAGACTTTATCTTAGACAGTTGTCTACCCAGAGAAGAATAAATACCTAGGTTGAGCCGGTGACAATGAGTGCCAACACACTACCACCTTACCCAATCAGCCATGTCATTTCATCACCAAACATATTTGTATTGACTTGTTTCTAAATTTTATTTTACGAGTACATGTTCTTCAAAAATATTAAACCTTCAATAAACTATATAAAATAAAAAAAATTGAATACAAATTGTTTGGAATGTTTGGATAGTAAACCCCTTTGATTTAGATTATGTGGATTTTGCCCAAATCTGATTTTAATTAAGTGCTTTAAAGTTAATATTTTCCGAAACGTCAGCAGCAAATCAAAGACCTGGAGATATCTGAAGACACCTCCCCACCCCTCTATAGGCCATACATGGGTAGTATAAGCTGGTTCCACTCCGACAATGTAAGTTGTTCCAGTCTTGGTTATAATATAATGTTAAATATATAGTTTTGTTGTGCAACTATAATAAAGTATAATATACACACGTGAAGATCCAGCATATTGATCGTTGATGGATCAAATAGATTTTTAACGCCAAGCCAAGAATCTTCTTGTACAATTACCAGAGCTAACAAAGTGATAAGAAAGACATATGGAGCAATCGAACCAAATATTCGGATCTAAGGATATGAGTTGATTAACAAGGTTAGTTCGATAAAAATATACAAACAACTAATTCATATTGAAAATATTATATTTTCTTACATGTGTCATGTATTTATCACCAACAAGCAAGAGAAAGTTGATAACCCATGAGATGGCAAGGCCGTATAACAACGGTGTGTAAAACTGGCCGAGCCCGTCATTCAGAATACTTTTTTCCATGTCCAAAATTCTGTTTCTACAACATTAGAAATAAACTTTATCAAACAGTTATCCATAGATTTCGAAATTGAACATAATTAAAACATATTTTTTAGTCGGTTGTAAGTCAAAAACCGTTAATATTATGTTAGTATTTGTATTTTGCATTTGATCAAATACACGAGAAAGAATAGGGTGATAATGGAACTGTGTGTGGTTAATTCAATAGTTCTCTTCGAGCTAGTAATACAAGTTAATCTTACCACGGAAAGTTCCTGTTTAGGTCCCACATAAGTAACTGAGAAGAGGATGTAAACAGTTACCTAGTATTTTCATACTAATTAAGAAGCAGATCTTATCCCACCCTACTATGGACAATCGACATTCGCCAGGTAGTTTTTAATCGACTTTTCGAAGGATAATTGGGAACTATATAGAATAACTGATATAGTTATCAATCAGCATCATGGATCAATATTGTTCTCCAAGTTAAAGGACTAATTATTTTCCAATCTTTACCAACGCGTTTTAAGAATAGAATAAATTCTTACAAGTAATAATTTTCAACGGGCACTCTCAGCTCTATTCCAGCAGACTTTGTTACGGTACTCGTTAAGTTCCTCGAATCGTCCATGCACAAGGTTTTGTTGATACATATCGCCCACGGCAACTCTTCCAAAAACGACATGGACATGTACACCAAACACCTGGACTGGATGGGACTGTAGCAAATTACGTTCAACAAGCATATATAACCCATTGCTAAGGCTACACCTAAGTAGAAACACGAATAACGTCAAGATGGAAAACATAACAAATTGATCTTTTCAATTAGTCAACCTTTTCCAGCCGGAACCATATCTCCTATTGCCGTAGGTCCTCTTCCAGAATACTGACCCAAAAACGTTTCCATAAAGCACCATGGAATGCCGGCCATCACGACTAATATTACGAATTGTACTATGAAAGAACCTGATGAAAACGATTGAAAATATAAGCACCACAATCATGCACTGTTCACAGCTTTATGAATGAAATTAAACATGATCATTTTTTCGGGGAATACATTTGGCTAAAACATTTAGAACGATAATAATCTATATAAACGTAACATTTAATTTTATTAGCCTATGGGCTGGTAAAATTTGTATTTTTTTAAAACATGTTTAAAACTTTCAAACACTGCAACTCTGGGTCTATGTCGAATAAATTTCTATAGATAACATTACATCCGTTGTACGAGTACGCCAAGTAGGGAAATCTGGTCAAATTTGCAAGGCTCCCGGTTAAACTGAAACAATAAAGCCAGTAATCAGCTGATCCCGCGAACCGACTTCTTTGTTCTTCTTCTATCAGCTAAACAAAAAAAACAAATGTATTTAATTATTTCGATTTTAGTATTTCATTTCGTTCAGTTCAACTCCTACACTATACTCAAAGTGGATTATTTTCCATAAAGCTATATAAAAGTTTAACTTGTTTGTTGCTTTGCTCTAGTTTTTTTTTCTTCAAAAACTACACTATTGTAGTTGGTCGGTTATTTAAATTTTCCTTTATGATTCTTGTGATCTTGTGTCTATAATTCACTTCCTTTTTTAGACATTTCTTCGGCTTCACATTACATCTTGTCTCTTAAACTTTTATAATTTATTTCTATCTCTTTGTTTTATTTTATTGCATAACATACTTAAACCATTTGGCTTGTACATCTAGCAGTTTTTCTGACAATTATTGAAATTTTCTCCGAAATACTTATTTCTAATTATATCTAAACTATTGTATCTATCTTCACAATATAACTACTTTGATACACTAACTAGCCATTTGTACTACTTTTATTTGTCATAGCTGACGGTTTTGTATTAGTTGAACACAATTTTACAAGTTAAAACCTTTTTGACAAGGATATCTTATGGCTGGGGGTCATTCTGAAAATAAAGTTAAGAGTATCCACACTTCATGCAGATACATCAAGTTGCAGGATTTATAAGGATATGTCGTAAGACAAAAAGAAGAAAACGATAAACTTCTCGGATTACACTGAATGTATTGTTGCCGACAATATTCGGCTAGCTGTCCGGGTTCTTCATGGATGTCGAAGGCCGTTGTCACACCGTGTTAAAATAGAGAATAACTGGAGATGGGATAGGTACAAGGTGCGACAACCGAATACTCTTGACAAAAAAGCATAGAAATTTGTTGTCTTTTACAATGATTTAATTGTAAATAAATCATATAATAATGACGTGGTCATTATATAAATGATATAAGGATTAATTAGGATGTATAAGGATACAACGATATATATAATATATATAAGGATAGTCAAATGAATTTGTTAGGTAAGCACTTGCTTACTAGCTAGTCACGGAAATTAATTTATAAAAAATGTTAAATATTGATAAATGTTGCCAGTAAATCAATTACGGCCAAATATTACAAAACTACTAAAAAACGTTTTGCCAGAACATATAATTAAGACTGATTGAAATATTAAAATATGCGGTAAAACGTCATTATTTATTATACTTACTGGACGCGATTTAACGTTTTCATAAAGTTTAAACTTTAGGAATATGTCGTCATCGGCAATTCTAGTTCTTTCTACCATGCCAGGTCCACGGGATATAAAGTGCATAGTAGTTCCTTTTCCACTCGCCATCTTTGTATTATAAGACTACTAATAATCAATTAATTTACACAGTGCCAACGAATTGGGCCGAATAACTAGTTTTTTCAATATTGTCATTAATAAGTTGACAAACTATATGCTATATTATGAAAAGAACATCAATAAAATCTATGGTTACTATTAATACATACATAATAACATTAAGTAGGATAGGTGTGTAGTTGTTTATATACTTGTATCACAGAATAGAATAAATAGTATATTCTGTGCTTTTATAATAATAATAAATATCAGCTATATTGGGTTCTAATAATGTACAGGATCATCTCACAATATCATTGTAGACACCCATTTATCATTTATCATTTATCAATATCATTGTAGATTTACTATGTTGTAAAGACAGCCATATTCTGTACACAAGTTCTCAAAAAAGTACTTGGTGGTTTTTTACTTTTTTTTGAAAATGTTAAATTTATCCGTTTTATGAAACTTTTATTGAAATACTTTTAACTGCTTTTAAAAAACTTGTATATTCGGATTTTGTCATTTAAAAGTTATTATACATCTAACTGGTAAAATAAAAATATTAAAAAAGTTCCATAGCTTTTCAAAACCGGAATGTTATAGGTATTATACTCCAAGATCGTTCTGTGTAATTAAAAGCAAAAAAATAGGCATGAGCTGTATATGAGAGAAAAACTTTATTTCAACATGAACCAAATAAAATGGTAAATTTATAGATCCAGTAGTATACAATACAATACTCTATGAGTTTACAATAAATGCTTAAATTCGAATTTAATACTATAGAAGAAAAACAATATAATATAATCATAATAAATATAATAATAAATGTAGCAATAATAATAAAGTTAGTTATTAGATAGTCTTATTTAAACATTTTTTATAAACATTATAGTTATTAATAATAATAATAAAAAAAAACTTATTGTGACTAAAGTTGAGCAGTACTATAGAAAATCTAACGATTGAACATGTATATACGTATACATAAATATATTTATATTTTATAAATATGTGGACGTATTAAATGTACAAATGTTTGTAAGTCTACTAAAAAATAAAAACCTGATGCATTCTAAGTACAACTTTACTAATGGTAAACAAACAAAAATACAAGCGACGAACTTAAAATCAAAACAAAGTTTAAGTATAACAAAATAGTTTGTATAGTTTAATAAATAAAAATGTCTACGATTTTTCGTAATTACAAAACAATAACTTTAAAAAATCGAAAATACTATTTTATCAAAAATGTACGTGTTCGAATAAAATATTAATTACGTTTAAATTCGAATCAATGTGGTAAAATATATTAAAATAAAATGAATAAAATAGGTATGCCAATGGAATAGATTCAAAGATGATTTCAAGAAAAAAAGGAAAACTATAATAAGTTATAAAGAATACTATTGTTGTCTACTGTTGGACATTTTTCGATATTGTATTAACCCCTAAAGGATATTTTACAGTAAAACTTTGAAAAATAAAAAATAATATTTTGTCGACGTTTTTAGTGTAGCCACTGAGTATCTTTGAGTAATTCACTACGGTTGAGTCTTGCTAAAAGACAAACATGGTTTGTTTAAGTAGGTAAAAATTAGTTGAAACCTATATATATATATATATAAAACAATGTTTAGTCAGCTTAATTTTAACAGCAACATTTTAAAAATCGTAATGCATTCAAAGACGCTTAATCATTATTATAATATGATATTTTTAAATTTGTGTATACAAATTTGGCAGGTCTTCGTCAAGGAACCAGAATCTGGAATTTGTAAAACTAAGGTTTACCTATGCCAAAAATAAAATACTAAAGAAGTACAGAGAATTGAAATAGATAAAGTTTAAAGAAATGAAATTACTCGAGTCTCTCAAGCGATCGAATAAATCAATTTTATGACATAAAATGGTCCAAGAGTCGAAAAGTAATGAATCAATTAAATCGGCACAGACTTTACTCAATTACCGATCACGAAATAAATATTTTACCATTTCTTAAATAAGTTCCATTTATCTTTTCAAATGATAGCTTAACTATATGTGGCTTAAAAGTATTGGAATACTAATATTATTAATGTATACTTCCATCTCAATTGATAATACTTAACTATAATTATGCACTTCAGTCACGGCCGGATTAAAAAAATCGTTTAGGTCATCAAAAAAGTGTACCACCGCCTAGTATAGTAAATTTTATTATAGTTAAGGTTTTTTGGATGGATTTTTAAAATGGCTCAAATATTAAAAATTTGGTCAGGTTATTTGCCATAAGAGGCAAGTCGACGATGACGGTAAATATTTTTGTTATTTTTTGTTTATGGTTTATTTTATGTAGATATCATATTTGATGATTTATACTTGGTAAATAACGCTGGTCAATAAGCGGGCCAACAATATATTTAAAGATTAAACTACTATAAAAAATTAGTAAATACAAATTGCTATGCTGTCTATGTACTTATTAAAACTATACAACTTAAAAAAAGATCCAAATAAGAAGTTTTTCATACTACATCAACTAAAGTTAACATGTTTAATTTATATTGATACATTTAAAGTAAGTTTTTTTAAAATTAAACATTCTAAATTTATATTCAAGTAGTTTTACAATGCTAACATAAATACTTTTAAATGAACACAACAAATATTATACAACACATAACGTTTATAATATATATATTACTCATTACCATAATCATTACAGTTAGTATATTTTGAATGTTACTCAAAATATAGAAATATTGTTAAGGAATGCAAATGTTTTGTCGAGGCTTGATTGAGAATATTATAAGGATAAAATTTGTAAACGATTTTGAAAATAATTTACGAATGAAATATATTAAATGTATAAAACTTTTTTGAACCGCTTGTGTTATTAATATCTTTGGTTATCTAAAGTAAAATATCATGTATCATCTGTTTTGACAATATTACAAATATTGTATTATATTTTATATATATTTCCCAAAAGGAAATAAAAACAATTTTAAACTATACAATTAGTGTCTGGATTTTAGCAAAAAATCGTTAATGGCAATGTGGTTGATTTTTAGCTTACTTCATAGTAATTACTTTTTACTTAGAGTTTCGTTTTTTCTTAATCCAGCATTGACTTCGGACATTTAAATGTAAAATTATTCAAGCCTTGTTGTCAATTAAATTATGTTGTTGAAAAAAAACATTTCTAATTAACAGTCTTGAAAATAAGTTTGTGATGTACACGTTTCGTGTAACCTTGTAAGCCTAATAAAAATCAATATTTTAAAATGTATATTTATTTTAACTATGTCGACTTTATAATATGGTCACGTTTTACAATACCAAAAAAAAAATCGTTATTTTATACTGTATATTGGTGTAATACCTATGTTTTATTAGTATATAACTTCACTGTTTTTTTTTGGCGAAGGAAGTTGAAATAATTTTATGGTTGAGTTTAACTTTTTATTTCCAAGCAACGGGATTGTTTATAATTATATATACCATAGACCATGTCAATGAAATGTATAGGCGACAAGACGATGGCTTTCGAAATTTGTCTTGAGAATTCGTCCATTAAGATAATTTGGCAAATAGAATTAGTCAAAATTTATCAACATCATACCTAATAACTATAAACTAAGGGGAAAATACCTAGCAAAATCAAAATTACAGACAAATTAATTGGGGGGCATACATTTTGGCAATATCTAGCAACGCAATCAGTATTTATATCAGGAAGTTCGAGGAAATGTCACTGCGTTCAAAACAGTATATTATTTATGTACAGATGAAAAGCTTAAGCGTTTAAATAAAAAAAATCCATAACGTCAATTCTCTAAACGACCAATGATGTATGAGAAGTCATCAATATCAATATTATAGAGACGCACACGGATTTTGAGGTTACTTAAAAACACTACATTTTAAATTGGTGTTTTCGATACTAGTAACAGCCTGTTAAAACGTTGGAATGCAAAATTGTTAAAATGCAAAAATATTTACATCGACTGTAAAATATATGAAAACAGTTCGAATTAACTGGAGAGCGAAGCAATAAGTCAGATGGTGGACTTAGCCGATGAGTATTGAGCGGCTTTGGTCGGCATATTATACTTCAGACTATGATCAGTATTATCATCTCTTTCGTGGTAACCATAAGTGTGTTCAGCAAACTGAAATCAGAAACAATTGGATAATTTATATTAGAGTAATAACTTAGGTATTTATAATTTTCTTATATTATTTTCTTGTATTAAAATAATAATTTTTACTTAAACATGAAAATTATTATTGATAATTTAATATAATAATAATTTTACTTAGGACATTTTTCGGAAACCTCGATAAATAGTTAAGGTTTACATGGGAAGTATTTCAATTTGCTGTGGATCCAATAACATTGGTAAATAATAAAACCACAACTAACTTAAGTCCATTATTATTACTATTTAAGTATAAACGTTTAAAATATAAAATCAATTAAATAATTATCATTGACATGTTAACTTACATTTACAGGAGGAGGCATACTGTAAAAAAAACATAAATTAACTAATTTAATTTTAACAGAAAAATAGTATGTAAAGTGTGTAAATAATTAATTTAGGAAATGTATTGAGAACAAACCTCTCATTGTTATGTCTTATAAAGTGTTGGATTTTTTTGGCAGCTTGATTTTGACGTTTCTGCGTTTGATTTCTCCTATTTAACAGTTTAATTAAATTTATATAAATATAATTTTATAAAAAAAAATTAGGGTAAATACATAATTAAATACTATTGAATATTATGCTTAATAGAAAATGTTATCTATAAATCACAAAAACAAATAGTTCGACACCTTTTTTTATAAAATTATTAATTTAAAAATTATATTTTAAAATTTTAAATTAACTCATCGGGTTGACATTACATAAAAACCGAAACAATTAAAACTAAACAGTTAAGTTAAATGCGCTTTAAAAACTATACAATTTGAATTAACGAGTTTTCAATTACTATTAATACTAGTTAAGAGAGTTTATTATAGTAAGCTTGGTACTATACTACTAATTAAGTAAAAGAGTAGAGATAATTTTTAAATTTACAAAATATACATAGCTGTATTTATAAATTATTTAACTTGTTAGTTTGTATTTTACACTTACTTTATACTTCTACATGAGCTTTTTGTATAATGTGATATTTCTTTTTTTATTCGTTTTTGTCTTTTGTACGACCGGAACTGGTTTTGAATGAGAACGACGGCTTTTGTTATTTGTTTATAATATGCAAACTAATAACACAAATACGAAGAATATTTAAGAGTATTTCAATTGGCAATTATTGATTAACATAACAATATTTTTGTGTAATATTGTTTTTGGATACGCCAAATTAATGCTATGTATGTTGTGTACTATATTGTTATAATTATTAGTTTTTAAGTTACCTGTTTATAACGACGATAATAGTTTTGAATGACTGAAGCGGCTGATACTTCTTTGTATTCTTCCCGTTTCTTATAAGTCCTGTACGCTTTTTGGATGGTTTTAGCCGCTTCGTATAACTCTCGTTGCTCGTAGTCTAAAAATAATCCATAAAAAACGAACGTTTAAACGCGAGAATAAGAAAAAGAAGCATTGTAGTAAGCTTATTGTAAATAAATGGAGCAAATACAAATGCAATAGAATAAAGTAACCATACATAGAAATGTTTTATCGTAAGATGTTAAATCATTAAAATAATCGAATAAAGTATAAAACTCTTTATAGTAAGTTGTATTTAAAAAAAAAACCTTTTACATTTTTTTTACCATTTCGTTACATTTACCCTACTTAAACCTTAAGTGAAAAATTTAATATTTTGAGTTACAGTTATACGGTTAGGTTATTGCTGATGTTTACCCGACAGTGTGAGATTGGAAAAGTTCTTTTCAACGTATTGGTTGTTGGCCGATGCATGAAGGAATTCGCTCAAATCCGCCGCAGTAGGAGGTGGTGAGATAGGCGAACACTGGGAAGCACTAGACATCGGACTTAAACTAATATTTGTGCTCGACGTTGGCGTTTCTATTTCTCTTTCACGGTGATGTCTGTGGAAAAGAAATCAGTTTAAGTTTAAAGTTAAACAAATATGATCCGGAGTAAATTTTTGAATGTTGGGTAAAGCACTCTGATGTTTCATTTATATTTTACCGGTATGGTTTGTCGTTAAATTCTGTACTGATATCCGAGTTGGGATCGAAGCAACAAGGCGATGCTGTCGATGGTGGATCATCAATTATTTCTATTATTGAAGTGTCAGATAATTGTCTGTGTTCATTTTCATTCTGCAAAAAAATGAAAAAAAATATTCAAAAATGTCGTTTTTGTTTAAAAAATGGTAGGTACCTGCGGTATATGTGGGTTTATTTTAATTGTATATTGTATCTGATGTAATGTAAATAATTCGAAAGAACTTAATATTAGAGAGGCAATAGAAATGTTGATAAATAAGAACAACTTGTTAAGTTTCGACTTGAGGTTTATTAAAATTATTTTTCGGTATGACGTCGCTGAAAAGTTTACCTATAATTGGTCACAGTCTGTTGTGTGCTCTGATGATGGTAACTTGTTGCCAAAATACGTGTATACTAAAGAGTATCATTTTTGTGGTTAAGGGTTTATTTAAATGTTTAATAATTTTATTTCATTCAAAACTGGTTATCGACTAGACATTATTTTCATTACACCATTCTGACTTAATAGTGAATTGAATTGTTGTAAATATAATTTTTTTTTTAAATATGATAAAAATTGTATTGTGAACTCAATTAGCTGACATAATAATATTATATCATAGACAAAATCACTTTTACATGAAATTTGGAAAACACTGTATTTATTTTTTACAAATGTTTGAAGGTCCTACCTGAAATGACAACAATCTCCGGCGAGCGATTTTCTACAATACATTTCGTTTACAAGACAACCGTGTTGTGTTGAACTAGTGTATTATGTGTTAATTAAAATCGTATAACAGTCGCAGATTAGAAAAGTGAAAAGAGATCATTGTTTTTTTATGTTTTTTAATTCGTCATGACGGACAAAACAGTATTAACCAATACTATTGAAAATGCCACCGAGCTGACGGCCCGTATAAAAACATTAAATAAAATTATTGTACAAATACAAAACGTCAGTAAATGTCAATGGTAACCCGCTGACAGGTTTGTGATGTACTATGTTTGTACTTAGGCCGAGAGTACGGCGGACAACTCGGACGAACTGGAAAATCTGAAAAACAATTTGAAAGACGCTGAAAAACAACTTGCGGTAGCCTTGAACGAGTTAGGTTCGGTACTGAAAATAGACTTGGACGACTTCAAATGCAAAACGACTGGACAAACTAGTACTAGTACGAGAGAAGTAAATAAATAACATTGCCGGTGCAATAATGTTTTTTAATAATTATATAAAAATTAATTTTAGCATTAATAAAAATAAAACAAACGCAAAAGTTTTTGATTTTTTTGAACTAGTGTATTGCCGTTCGGCAACCGTCGACAGAGGGCAAATTTGACGACACTGGTGAAAGTGCATATGAACATTTAGCCGCCTTAGGCCATTTAGATAGTATGGACAAAGAAGAAATTTCGAATGAAGTTATCGAAAACGTTATAGGCGAATTAAAAATCAAAATGAAAGTGGCAGAAAAGCATAACTCCAAACTTCGGTGCAAGTTAGACGAAGAAGTACGGTCCGAGTTGATAATTTTTTTTTTCATTGCTTGCTATGGATTGCTTAGTTTTAAATGTATTTTTTCAGAATAGAAAGAGTTTCAAGATGGCCAAGATGTTACGCAACAGAGTATGTAGCATATCCGCATGTACACAACACATACCCATTATTATTGATATTAATATTGTACCAAATTAATTAAGAAGTGTGAATTCTCTAGACGCCATTCAGCAAAATGAAAACTGGTGAAGTGGTATTCCCGGGGAAAAAACAAATGGTAAATCAACTTCGTTAAACTAAACAAGACTTATAGTAGTAGATACATATACAAATGGACTGCGCGGTCGATATACTTTAACCACAGCAGCTTGCTGGTATATCAACGCGTGAGAGATACATAATTATATTTACATTGATTAAGTTTAGTTTACCAAATGATTGATAACAAGATATTTGATTTAAGTAGCAATATTAAAATTATTTGATACTTTTAAACATGAATAGAACATCAATTTTGGTCGATTTCTATAAGTCTATGCTTAATTGGTAATACTATATTATAATATACACGTATCACTCTAGGAAACCAAAATTGACATAATGACCAACGAGATAAAGCGACTGAGACAAGAATTTTACAAACTCCAGATGGAACATTGTCGTCTAGAACTGGCTAGAAACGCAATGATAGCCGCCGACTGTCCCGTAAGAAGATGGTTTTTGCATTTTATTTAACTCAATTTGCGCCGTAAAAGAATAATAATTGTACTAGTGATTCCTTCAGGAACCCCCGGGAGATGATGACGTACATGTTAAAACCGACAACATTCTACAGCTCAATGTATTTTCTCAGAAATTACAAGACAATTTCTAGTGAGATACTTTTTTCGCAAATCGTAGAATTATACATATCTTATAGATAGTAATGTAAGTAGTATTAATGTTGTTTAAAGCGCCACGCTAGAAGAAATATCCAAGTTCCGGGTAATGTTGGACGATACAAAAAATGAATTAAGCTTCAACAACAAACAACTATCTAATGCAAAAGCGGAAATTTCAGAAAAATCTAAGGAATTGACTGCGTTTAAAAAAGTAAACGGCAATTTATTAGTACCTATTAAGTTTTACACGGTACAGTACAATACAAGTACAACATCTGCAAAACACTAGCATACTTTCACAAGCACTAACATAATTTTCTAGATGTGTACAATTATTTAGTGAAGTTAATAACCAAACATAAAAACAGGAAAAAATATGTATTAGCCAAATTAAATATTCGCTTATAAATTAAATAATTATACTTCGTCGAAAATAATTATAGAAACAGAAAGTGACTCTTTAGAAAATTTAAATTCACTAAAAACGTATTGACTTTGTCGAGAACTATATTTTGGCCCAATAAAATGGTATTTAGTGGGAACCAATAATGCATTTCTCGGAAGTAACTACTAGTAGGACATTAATGATCAAAGAGGTCAATTCTAGTATTCATCCTGCAATAATCTATGCATAGTGTTGATGAAAGACTACTGAGGTATCGTTGTTAATAATAATATTACCGTTTGTTCCTTCCAAGTTGACCGAAGACCCTAGTAGCATGATACACGTTTATAATAATGAGTTGAAAGACGCTAAAAATCGCGTGGAAGGATTGGAAAAGATTATCGAAATGCAAAAATGCGAAATGGAAGCTAAAAACGAGAAAGTAAATACTCGCATAAACTAATTGAGTGCAAAAGTCGAAACATAAATTTTAATTCGAACTCAATTTCCCAGTATATGGAAATGCTACAGAGAAAAGAATTGAAAAAAATTCAATCCAACGAGCTGTGTCAAGAAAGATGCAAGCGGGAAGTGGAAAACGAACAACAATTTGATCGTGTTAGGGTAAACATAAAATAATTATAATAATAATAATAATAAATATAAAATTGCATGTGACCATTTTGTGCTAGGAGTACTTTGATAAACGTTTAGAGAGTATAAAACATTTCCCTATTGCCTTCCAAGCCGCTAAAGAACAACTATTTGAGCAAAAAGAATTGAAAAAGGAAACGGATAGAAAAATTGAATGTTTGAACGATCTACTCAAAAAGATAGTATGTATCGTTGCAGTAAATGTTAACTAAACGACAGTAATACATTTTTTTTCTTGTATGTGATACAGAGAGACAAAAAGAAAAACATGCACACGGATAAGTTGAAGACTCCCGAAGTTTTGGCAATGGAAGCCAAAAATGCCGAAATGAAGTAAGCGTTTTTTAAGAGTGGTATAAATTTAAAGAGTTGAATAGGTATTAAATAATTAAAAAAAATATAGGAGTAAATGTAGGAGTTTAAATAAAAAAAACTGAACAATCTAATAACAGGGTGTTCCATTTAACGTGAGACACTAATTTAAAAAAAAAAATTACGATTTTGGAGACATTTTAGATTATTTTATTTTTTCAGTATTAAACAATATTCAAATGTTTATTTTATTTTTGGAAAATTTCAAGGTTTATCAACTTAAATGGTGATCTATATATTTGATTAAGTTTTTGTATAAAAAAATAAATCACAAAAATTGTTGACTGGTCTATAACCAGTTTTAAACAGTTATTTTAAAAGTTTAAAAATTAGGATTGGAGGAAAAGTAGATAGCAGTATTACTTTTATCTGACCAAATTATTCAACAGTACTAAATTTTAAACTTTAGTAACTCTAAAAATAATTATTCAAAAATGGTTTTCGACCCGTCCACATTTTCAGTAAATTATATATACTTTAGAATGTACTTTAGTATTTTATACTTGAGGAATTAAGTAACCATTATGTAAACGTGACTCAAGTTTATGGACAAATAATTAAGATAATATTTTTTCACCTCGTTAAAATAATAAACACTGTTGTTAGATTGTTGTTTTCATGTTATATCAATTATTTTATAAGCAAATATTTTTAAACAGAAATGAGTTAAAAAAATTGGAAAAACAGTTGGCCGAAACCGAAAAACGTGGCTACGAAACCAAAATTGCCGTAAATCAATTGAAGTCCGAGTTGGAGAGAATTAAAAAAGAATCAAGTTCCAAAATTGCTGTAATGAACAAAGGATTGAAAAAACAAATGGACAAGTATTTGTGCGATATTAAGGAATTACAACAGAGGATATCCGAAACCAAGGCTTATGCTTGTTCGGAAACCGTACAATTGGAATTGGTAATTATTTTTTTATGACTATTGCTCGAATAGGTAAAGTTATTAACAGCAATTGCATCAAATAATACGTAGGTGTCAGCAAAGCTAAAAGAACACATGGACAGTTTGGAATGCAACGTAGAACAAGCAAAAGACAACATTACTGACATCGAAAACACACAAAACTACGTACAATTTATAAAGAGAAACTTATGCTATCCGACCATAATTGTCAAAGACTTGAAAAAAGATAAAAAATGCACCATGTGACTGTAGATAACCCTAGGTGTATTGAAAAAAAGTAGAAAAATAAATTTTCAAATTGAAACAATTGTTACTAACAGCTTATTATTTTCTTTATAATAAAATCCAAATAAAACCAGCTCACATCCAACAACAGCAAGGCCGGCTATTCTTCATATTTCTCTATGAAATACGATTTCGGAAAAAAATCTTTAATGGAAAAGCTTATTGTGGTCGACAAACATAAAATATACACAAAAAACAAAATTGTTTTTAATTTAAAAAAAAAATTCTACAAAACTTAAAAATCTATGTGGTATTTTGTGATAAATTATGTTTTAGCAAGTAATAAGTTATCAATTTTTTCTGTTTCAATGGACTGTAATATGATAAAAACAATATCGTGAAATATTAAGAAAGTGATTTTAAAGTGCTATATAATTAAGCTAGGGATTTGAAATTTTGGGGTATTTCTTATTTGAATAGGCTACTATTGATTAACTCTACAAACTACTGATTGTCTATGTACAACATAATCGTCAAAACCTATCAATGTTATAATTTAACATATACATTTATATAGAGTGATGAATCATCCGGTATATCTGGTGTTAATTAGTTTCTAACAATGATCAGGTGTTCCTATTGTATTTCTCTTAGAAACGCCTTGCTTATTAAATACTCTATATTTAACTATCTGAACTATCTCAACTTTTTTGACTTTAAAAAGTTTGAAAAAAGGCTCACCTTGATGTGTTCAGGCATAGCGGCTATGAACTGTTCAGCCAATGTGAGTACACAGACATTTTGTTCCCCTAAAACAAAAATTATATAATTCGGTCGTTTATCTATATTTAATCTATACATTTGTGTTATCTGTTTACTTAAATGTGTTCTTACCTTAAATTGATGTACATAAGTATGTAGTATACATAATAAAAATCGACTATTATTTTAGTTAACTAATAACATTATACATAGTGTGTTCGTTTTATGTGTGTTTTGTGAAAGTAAAACGTATACTATAATACAAATTGTGTAATTTTAAATGAGCATCCAAATATATATATAATATATATATATATATATATATATGTATATATATATTATTGTACTAATGGTATAGACGTGTGTTTGTGTGTCTGAGAGTAAGCGAGAAAGCGAAAAGACTGTTTTGGGATTTTGTTGAGCTTTTGGTAGGTACTGCTAAAATGTAGTTTTTCATACCGTGTCCTGTGGGATTTTGGGCCTCGTGGTCAGTGGCTTTGTGGATTTTTGCGCCATCAGGGTCCTGGTTTGATTGATTCTGATTCACAACATCAGTGGGGCTAACAACAACACCATTACCACCGCCATCACTACTACTGTCTTCTGCCGCTACAGCTGCTACAGCTGCCGCCGGTTTCTCCGACAGCGAGGTCACCAAGCCTAATGGTCAGCCAATCAAATTCTACCATAATAAGCTAATCAAGAAAAGCTATCGGACACTTAACATTTTATAAAATGCGCATTTTATACTTAACTCGTGATATAAAATTAATTGTTAATAAGTAATTATTTTACTATTAATTTACCAACTCTGTATTTGAGAGTCATCCCATGTGCCAAAATATTTTAATATAAAAAGTTAATTTTTAAATTTATCCAAATCATTTATGCGCAAAAGTGTATACTAATTAAAATTTAACTACTCATCATAATAACCAATGTATGACTCTAAGTAAGTATAATACCTATTAATAATAATTATAATAAAACGTAAATATAACAATTATTACTCTACGAATGGCTTATCTATATATGTAAAGTTTAAAATATGAAGTAGTACGAATTTATTCCGTAGTGCGTTTATATCAATAATTATATCGATTGGCTATAGTTTAAAAGTAATCATACTTAAACTGTAAGTAATAAAAAGTTCTAAATTATAATAGTGTACGAATAAAACATTAATAATAAACAAATTAATTATAATTATACTTCAATTTGATAAACATATTGTTTGTGTAAATGAATCGACATGATAGAAATAATAATGATAAATGATTGTTTGTTAGCACTTATTTCACAGCATACTTACAAATAATAAAATTAGACTTGTTCAGCACAGGAGATCGGTCCAGTGAAATCCCGCTGTCCGAATTCGGAGATTGCAGTGGCAGTGTAAAACTTTTTTGGAACCTAACACGCAAATGTATTCAAACGTTAGACACATTTGAAAAAATAAAGTCTTAGAAATCAAAATTGTATGAGACCCATAAATATGTTTCTAGTGGGTAACTATGTGCGTTAATATTTTACCAGGTGCTTTACGATGTTGAGGTATTTTCCAGTTTGTAATATAGAATTCGTTATTCAACTTATTTTTTTTTTTTTTTTTTGGTGGGGGGTACTGAATACTTAACTCAACTGACCCAACTAATTCGACACTTACTGGTTAACAGAAGGGTAATACTGTATGGGTTTGCAGAACTGATTGTAACATTCATCATTCTCTGAAAAACTATTTGGGATCGGTCGTTTGACATATTGCACGCTTTGAAGATTCAATATATTGTTGTCACTAGGTTTATTTTCGTTTCCAGAAGCTAAAAAATTGTTTAATGATAAAATTAGACAAGTACTAAAAAATATACCGTATAACATAAACAGCTTACATATTCTGGTCAACGAATTGTCCATTTGAACAGCTTGAGAATTGTGTCCGTCAAATTGTTGAGTGTTAATATCTTTTTTAACGTCACTGTAAAGTAATTTTTGAATATTTAAAAATGCATACACGATGAGTTCAAAGTAAAATTCTAATGGATTTTACCAAAGTATTTCGTTGGGGTTTGTAAACATATTTTCATTGGTCAAGTTTTCGCTGGCGTAATACTCGTTTTGATCGAAATCATTGAAATCTGTTAATAATAATTTACTGATAATTAATAATAAAATAGAGACTTGTCTAGATTAATAGATTATTTTCGAAACCAGTAGGTACTTTTTGTTATTCATGTGACGTTTATGATTAATACTAAAGATCGAACAATAAGACAAACGGTCTAAGATAATGTTAAAACTATTTTTTTACTTAAATAAAACTAGGTTTTATAACTAAAATTTGAAATAAACAAATCGTTCTTACATTGATGAACGGATTCCAAAATGTCTGTTTGACAGAAGTCTAAGTTAAATGTGTTATCAGCACTATGGGTCGTCTGATACCATTGGCAAAGTAGAACTGCCGTGTCCTTATGACCTTTCTTGCACGCCCACATCTTTAAGTCAGGGCCATAACTAAATTAGTTTGAAAGTATTTTTAAGATATAAAATGATTTATTGTGTTTACCAATGGTGTGTATCCATCTCTGTCTTGCTTTGAAACATTTACTTCTAATTCCAAAAACAACGATGCGTTTTCTAGTTTCCATTGAAGCAATTTACACACAAGTCTATAACAATTATTTTCCGTTGTTTACACAGCGATTAACAGTAGCCGGTAGACATAAATTATTATAAAATCTCTCTTTGAGTATGTTGAAATTATTTTTATACATACAAGATACATTTAAATAAAACGAAAAATTAAATGTTTGTTGTACCTCTGTTTTAGGTATTTAATTTTGTCAGATTTTCCAAAATAATTATTAATACCTACTCAATTATAAATAATTACTATTGTTTATACGATTAGACAAAATACATTTTATTATGAGAAACTATTAAATGTATATTTCAGAACCAATTCACATCTCATTCAAATCAAACTACTATAATTGGTTTTTACATGTAAATCTAAAAAGACATCCTAAACTCAATTAATAATAAATTAACAGCATTTAACTCAGACGCAACTGTACTATTTCTTGGAACTTTTAAGATTTCCAAGTAAAATTTTCTATTTTTTTAAAATATTTATTTATATTACTTGGAGTATCCCAAAAATGCGGCAATGTGCAATAACGTCGTCCCGGTTTCCAGTGGTTTGATGTTGCATTCCGATTCAGATTTCCACGTTAACTGTTTCTTTTGGTCACAGTAGTCGACCAGCCAGTTTTCAAAGTTGGATATACTCAACATAACTGCGCTGTCTTTCTGTATCTGACAGATAATTAAAAAGTGCAAATATGATTATATGTATACGGATCAAAAAATAATTTGAATAATATCAATAAGTATATAAACTGAGGTTAAACGATGGTTCAGATCAGCAATGTTGGGAAAAGATAACTAAAAAATTATTTAGATAAGATAATATGAGATTATTAATGAAAAATGTATCTCCACAAAGAAATATATCTTTTTTTTTTAAAAAATTTAAATAATACCCTACTTACAAATATTAACTAATAGAATTCACATTACGCTCTGTAAAAAAAAATATCTTAAGAGGAAAATGAATGTAATAATATATTAATATATCGAATTTATTTATCACAAGTAATTTATTAAACTGTATTTTCTCTTTATTATTTTTATTTTTATTCATTTATTCTACTTATCTAACATATTATATTAAAAAATAATAACGTCAAATGACATAAAAAAAAAAAAAATTTCAACAAATTTGGAGTATTTAAATGTTAAAAAAAACGAAGATGTTGTTATCACTTATAACAATTAACAACTACTACAAAACACAACATAGAAAACATATAACAATCAACAAATATTACAACATACTATTCTATCTAGATAAATAGTCTCAGATAACTATTTTATTTATTTAGATAAGATAATAAGACGATTAAATATTTTTTATCTAGATAATTATTTTATCAATTCCCAACACTGCAGGTCAGCATCGTGTATTTCTAAGAAGTAGCAATATGTATAGAAAATTTCAACGAGACTACTAAGAATAATATTGTGTTTTCAACTTGCTATCTTAGGAATGATAGACATTATAAACGTAGTTACCTAATGGGAATCGAGTAGAACTGTTAAGGAAAATGGAAGGCGCGTCCTGGATGCGGGAAAATATGTATAACTACGAGTATGACGTTATATTTATAAAATATGTACAAAAATTAAACCATATGGTCAACACGTACAAGTAGCTGATCAGAGTGCTGGCTGTTGGTCTGTAAGTAATCTTCGAGCGTGTCGAGCTTTTGCAGTAAATACAATTTGAGTAGTGACGGCGTGTGTGGCATTGTCAACGAGGATATGGTAAGCGGAATCTCGTGTTGACGGTACTCGAACATGGCAGTGGTCGATACGGGCCTGCCGTCAATGACTACTTGCAAGGTAACCGTACCTATGTCGTGCGCTGCATACAAAATATGTCACACAACATAAATATTTAGATATTTAAATAACATGCTTTTGCTCAAGCTTCAGATGACAGAGCTGCACTGAATAAAAATATTTACTTTATCATCTACATATTTTACAATAATTGCTTACTCACCCGGGCAATAGCAGCGTAGAACGCCTCCTTGGACCAGAGTGCTCGGGACGGCGATCGTGTCGAACATGACGGTGTACGAAGAAGAAGAAAACCACGGTCCAGTAATCAGCACTTTAACGCCTCCCTGATAATAAACAGTAATAATAAGCCATTGAGAATGTCCTCAATAAAACCGAAAGTTCGCTGAGGATTTTCCCCAATGGTTTTCCAAATGAGACTTCCGTTTGGAACTCAAGCGACCAACCAGAATCAACTATGATACCCGTTAAAGTATTTTAATTTCGGAGTTCTTGCCCTTGTTCCAACTAGAGAGTCCAAAAACTAAATTATAAGCAAATAAGAAGACAACTTTCTGTACTCCCGGATTGATAAACCTGTAGAACGACCTTTCACCTTTGAAGAGTACCATTTAAGAGTTTGCTATACCTGCATAGAAATCTCTAGGGATATCATCTAAACTCTTTACAACTTTAAGGATTCTTTAGTATTTAACTGAAATTGAATCTAGCCTAGTTCAGTACAACATAAGTGAGCAACATTGTAAGAGGTGTATAAATTAGTTAATAGGTAATACAAATTTTACGTATATCGTGTGTTTAGAATTTAGTTCATCCATTTTGTGTATGTGCAAACTTCTTAATAATAAAAAAACAATATTTATAAAAGTAAGTCATTTCGGTCTATAAGCCGTACAATAAAAAAACAGGGCCAGTTAAAACAAATGTAATTTTACTAAATCCGGCAAAAAAAAAAAGTTATATATACCATTGTACTAGTTTGAGCCCACTCAGCTCTGTAAACCAACTTCGGGACGGTTAAATAATGTGTGACAAAATATGTTACTCGATGACTTACCTCGGGAAACGCCCATTCTGGACAGTAATCGGTAATCTGCAATACGTCCACGTCCATTTGGGTTTGCCCGTGTGAATGTTGCAGGTTTTCGTCCATGCCCGTTACCATTATGGCTGCACAAACATATCATATATATTAGCTATAGTACTCCAATAGATGCGTGTTGATTTTGAGATTTAACCGTCTCGACCGGGTCACGTGCCATACCTGAGCCTTGTTGGCCAGCGTTTTCCAGCATGTCGAGTTCTTGGAGATCGGTGAGCATGTCGAAAGCGTCCAGGCTAACGAACACGTCATCGTCCCCCGTGTCACCGGACGTCTTGTTGTTGCGGTTGTCGTCGAGTCTGTCGCAGAATCGGCGATATTGCATTACTACAGTATACACAACGAAGTGCATTTTAGTGATGATTATATATATTTTTTTACCGTAAAAGTTGATCGGCGCCGGCACACGACACGGGTGGCATGTTGGCCGACAGGGTCTGCTGTATGTCGTCGTGCGACAAGTCCAAAGTGACGTCGTAGAACTCTGACTTGACGTGCTCGTCCGTATGCTGTTGCTGTTGTTGTT